GGGAGAGGGAGAAGCAGGCTTCCTGCGGAGCAGGGACCCCGATGTGGGACTCGATCCCAGGACCCTGGGATCATGACCTGAGCTGAAGGCAGTCGCTTAACCAACTGAGCCACCCAGGCGTCCTTGTTTTGTTTTTTAAATCTATGATGGGACTCTTTTAAGAATACTTGCTATGTAACTGGGCAAGTAAGTCACTTAACCTCTGGGGGCCTCAGTTTCCTCATATGAAAAGCAAGAGTTGGAAAAGATATTTTAGGTCTAACAGCCCCACATGCTAATGGATTTTAAGCCTAGATACCATCTAGCGTAAGAAAACCCTATGCACAAGAATGAAGGATTGGAGAAAAGTTGAGACCTATGCTCTGGGCCAAGGCCATTCTTAATGGAAACAGGTGGTGGACAGTCAAGAGGGAAAAAAACCACTGCGGGAACCACAAACTTCCTGGTTAAAGCAACAGCTGAAAGCTCCAGCTCTGCTTTACTAACAGCAATGCTTCAATCTTGGCTAATTCATAATCAGAAACCACACACTATAAGCAAAGCTAGAAGAGCATAAAAACTGGCATGAGGAGTGGGGGGGGCTCTGGCAACAGTTTATGCATGCTATGGCAACTTCATCATCTTCCGAGTGGACGCATTAATGTTAAAACAAAAAGAAACCCTGTGTGCTTCTATGTGGAGACGCCTTCTTTCTCCCCAAGAATGTTAAGGAGAAACTGAACTTGCATAGTCCTCTAAGAGACGCCACACTTGAAAAGGTGAAAGAATGCAATTAAAGCCTCTCCAATCTACAAAGAATCAAGACAGCGATAAAAGCGAAAAGACCTTTAAGATGAAGTTCCTGTAAAGGATTCTCTGAGTACCTGTAACCTTTTACACTGCAGACATTATAAAGCACTGCCACTATTGAAAATTGTTACACAGCCTTCCTACTCGAGGGTAATAAAAGTACAGCATTAACTCTGCTGGAGAGAAAAAGATTCCATTTTGCTTGAAACAGACTCCGACCAAAATCTCACCACCTTCCCGTCAACTAGAAGGATGAGCCTGAACCGACGAGAAGCTCCTTGGAGCCTGTGCTATAGTCCTAAGAATTAAAACATCCTGCCCCAAAGACCGCAACCAAGACACCACACCGGCTTTAAATCCAAAGCCAGGTACCTAGAGAAAAAAGCTGCTCTTCAATGTGCTCTCCGTGCTCTCGGGTGCGAGATTCCAGCCCTGCTACTAGGCCACGACTGGGTGAGCACCTGATGTGGGGGGAGGGCGAGCCAAGGCCCTAGCGGATCTGGGTCGGGGAACGGGGGGCTCTCGAGGCTCCCGCGGAGAAGCGCTGCCCCCCCTACTAAGGCAGGGGTCCTGGGCCCCCCTCCAGGGGTCGGCACCGAGAACACGTGGGACGTCAGGAGGAAGGAAGGGGTGTCCCGGGCAGACAGCCTGGGTCTGGCACGGCGGCCGGAAAAAAGAGAAAGGAGCTACCCCTGGGTGGGGAACGAAGCCCTCGGGGCCCAGAGGGTGAAGGCAAAGGGCGCGAGGAGAAGGGGCAAGGCCACGAGGAGGGCGGGTCTCCCTGGGCGCGGGGGCACGCGCCGGACTAGGGCGGCGGGACCCGGGGAGCGGAGGGCCCCGACACGCGGGAGGAGATCGCCGACCTGCCCCCGGGGCGCAGGGAGCCAAGAGCGGCCGCGCCCGAAGGGCCCTGTGACCCGCAGCCTCCAGGACCGGACCCGCCCCGCGGCGCCTCCCTCCTGCCTCCTTTCCCTCCCTCACTCCCTCCCTCCCACCCACGGCCCGTTAACCCGTGGCCGCCGCACTCACCAGCGGCTGCACCTGAGCCCGCCGCTGCCTCAGCTGCTGCCTGCGCCTTCGCAGCCGCTGCCGCCGCCTCGCTGCTGAGGCCGAGTCCCGGGGGAGCCTCCGCGTCCCGCCGCCGCTGCCGCTGCCGCCAGAGCAGAACACCCCAAAATGGCGGCACTTCCGGCACCTACCACCGGCGGGGAGGGCCGAGGAGAAGGAGGGGGAGGGCGGTGAGAGGGAACGTACCACCGCGGTGCGGCCCGCAGAGCCGAGCGGAGCAGAACGCGGCGCAGGGGCGAGCGGAGCGCGCGGCGCTGCAGCGCCCCCTCGGGCTGGGGAGTGGAGAAGCAGCCGCGCCGAAGCCCCCGGGGCTGCGGGCGGAACCCTCAGGCCGGGGAGCTACAGGAGCGCATCTCTTTGTCTCGGAGCTCTACTGATGGAAAGGGTGGAAAGACCCGGCCTGTGAATATGAAGTTCTCGGCCCTGAGCACCGTGCCCACAGGAGTTCTGGATGACTTGGTGGGCGAGGACCTCTGCTTGGCACTGAATCATGCGCATAATAAAATATTTGATGAATGAATGAATGAGTGAATGGACTGGTGCTTGGCCAGGTTTGGGCACATGGCACACCCTCCTTCTGCCCCAACAAACAAGCAACGGAATCCAGGCCTCCCTCATTCTTTGCTGAGATGTGGAACGTGAGTGTATATTGCAAGCTTTCTGAGTTAGGGGAGTGCTTTCTAGCAGGTTGATCTGCTGTGTGAATGCACAACCTTGCAAAAATCCCTGCAGCGCCAGGAAGCTCAAAGGGTTCTTATTAAGAGACTGATTGCCCATAGGGCGCCTGGGTGGCTCAGTCGTTAAGCGTCCGCCTGTGGCTCAGATCATGATTCCAGGGTCCTGGGATCGAGCCTTGCATCGGGCTCCCTGTTCGGCCAGGAGCCTGCTTCTCCCTCTCCCAATCCCCCTGCCTGTGTTCCCTCTCTAGCTGTCTCTCTCTCTCTCTGTCAAGTAAATAAATAAAATCTTAAAAGAAAAGATTGATTGCCCAGCCCTAGCCTACTGTTTCCCAGAAAAAAAAATTTTTTTTAGATTTTATTTATTTGAGAGAGAGAGACAGTGAGGGAGAGAGAGCACAGGTGGGGAGGAGAGGGAGAAGCGGGCTCCCCACAGAGCAGGGAGCACGATGCGGGACTCGATCCCAGGACTGTGGGATCATGACCTGAGTCGAAGGCAGACGCTTAACCGACTGAGCCACCCAGGCGCCCCCCCAAAAAATGTTTTTAACAACGCAAGTTAGGTCCTGAAAGACCTCCTTCAGAGTGACTCAGGAATCCCAAGATCTAGGTGGAATTCAAACCACAACTGTTTGTTGTTTGTTTGTTTGTTTAAAAAGGCTAATGCAGGTCCTACATCTTATGTGACAGTGAAATACACATAAAAAAAAGAAAACTTAGTTCTGGGACCTTTTGGCCCCAGCAACAGGCAATTAACTCCTAGGGTTGCAAATGATCTCTTTGTAACACCACCTGGCTTCCCAGAGCAAATAATTCCTATTTCCACAAATACAAATTATACCACACCACAAAAAAAAAAAAAAAAAATAGGGGCGCCTGGGTGGCTCAGCTGGTTAAGCGACTGCCTTCGGCTGAGGTCATGATCCGGGAGTCCTGGGATCCAGCCCCGTGTCAGGCTCTCTTCTCAGCAGGGTGTCTGCTTCTCCTTCTGCCCTTCCCCTGCTCATGCTTGTGCTCTCTCTCTCTCTGAAATAAATAAATAAAATCTTATAAAAAAATAAATAATAAAGGCACTCCCAAGCAGAAGCCTCCCATGTGTTGGAAACACTTCTTTCCTCTTTGGGGGGAAAAAAACTAATCACAGTTTTTCTGGTACTATACAGACAGGAACAATTAGCCCCTAAATTATGCATTATCATATTCCCTAATTGTACCATATAGTTTATGATTTTATATACACTTATAATGCTGATATATGATCTTGTTCTTGTTAATAATTATATGTGTAATTTACTGAAAACATCCTGTTTATAGATCATTACAAATTATAGAATGTTGTCATATACATTACCACAATTAATTTTATATTTGTCTCCCAGCTGCCATAGATTGTACAAACTTTGTAAACAGACTGTCTTTGTGGGCCACAGAATCATCCAGATATGCACCTGGCTCACTTCCTTACCTCCTTCAAGTCTTGACATAAATATCACCTTCTCGTTGGGCCTTCTCTGACCACGTCACTTAAAATTACACGTACATCGGGGTGCCTGGGTGGCTCAGTCGTTAGGCGTCTGCCTTCGGCTCAGGTCATGATCCCAGGGTCTGGGATGGAGCCCCCGCCATCAGGCTCCCTGCTCTGTAGGAAGCCTGCTTCTCCCTCCCCCACTTCCCCTGCTTGTGCTCACTCTCTCGCTGTCTCTCTCTCTGTCAAATAAATAAATAAAATCTTTAAAAAAAAAATAAAATTACACATACACAGGGGTGCCTGGGTGGCTCAGTCAGTTAAGCATCTGCCTTCAGGTCCTGGGATCCAGCCCCATGTCAGGCTTCCTGCTCAGCAGGGAATCTGCTTCTTCCTCTGCCCCTCCTCTGCTTATGCTCTCTCTCTCAAATAAATAAGATCTTTTAAAATAAATAAAATAAAATAAAATTACACACACACAGAGAAAGACAGAAATAATTAAAATTACACACACATACACCCATGCTTTTTTTTATTTTTTTATTTTTTAAATATTTTATTTATTTGAGAGAGAGAGAATGAGAGATAGAGAGTACAAGAGGGAAGAGGGTCAGAGGGAGAAGCAGACTCTCCGCCGAGCAGGGAGCCCGATGCGGAACTCGATCCTGGGACTCCAGGATCATGACCTGAGCCGAAGGCAGTCGCTTAACCAACTGAGCCACCCAGGCGCCCTACACCCATGCTTCTAATCCCCCTTTCCTGCCTTATTTTTATCCAAAGCACTAATCACCATCTAACAGAGTATATTTTGTACTTCATATTTTACTTACTTTATTTGTAAACCCCACCCCAATCAGATGGTAAATTCTACAGGAATAGGGACTTTGTTTTATATCCTCAGGGCCTAGAATAATGCCTAACTGTAATAGATGCTCAATAAATACTGGTTTTTAAATTTGACCTACATATATTGTGAAATGGTTACCACAATAAGTTTAGTTAACATCCATCATCTCATATAGATACAAAAAAAGAAGTTTTCTTCCTTGTGATGAGAACTTAGGATCTACTCTTTTAACGATTTTCCCATATACCATACCACAGTGTTAACTATCGTCATCATGTTGCATATTATATCCTTAGTACTTATTTATCTTATGACTGAAAGTTTATACCTTTTGGGCGCCTGGGTGGCTCAGTTGGTTAAGCGACTGCCTTCGGCTCAGGTCATGATCCCGGAGTCCCGGGATCGAGTCCCACATCGGGCTCCCTGCTCAGCAAGGGAGCCTGCTTCTCCCTCTGACCCTCCCCCCTCTCATGTACTCTCTCTCTCTCTCATTCTCTCTCTCTCAAATAAATAAATAAATCTTTTAAAAAAAAAGAAAGTTTATACCTTTTGACGATCTTCATCCACTTCCCCTCCCCCATCAATAAATATTGTTGAATTCATGAATAAGCATATCTAAGTGCTGGGTATGAAAAAAGAGAATGAATTGCTTAGCCTTCAGAAGCTTCCTGGAACCTACCCATGAGTTAGATGAAGGTAGGGATCACACCCATTTTCTTATTCTCTTGTCTCTCCAGGTTTTTGTTGCTTTTTTTCTTCATAGTATCTGACTCAGTAGATATTTCTTGCAGGGCAACCAGAAACTTTTCCCTTTTTTATCTGTCTCTTGACTTATGGCTCCCATTGGCAGAGAGGAAGTAACACTTGTTGCAGGGTACTAGTGAGGGCCACAGCCCAGCAGCCCAAAGTGGTGGGTGGGTGGAGACCAGTGGGCATGATAATTACATGAAAAGCACAAATAGGCTCCTATAACTTCAAAGGGCTTCAGGGCACAGACAAAATACTAAACAGTCCAAATACAAAAAGCCTGAGATGCAAGCAAGTATGAAAAGCTCCCTATTTCACTTAAAGATTTTATTTTTTTTTAAGATTTTATTTATTTAGGGCGCCTGGGTGGCTCAGTTGATTAAGCAACTGCCTTTGGCTCAGGTCATGATCCCGGAGTCCCGGGATCGAGTCCCACATTGGACTCCCTGCTCAGCAGGGAGTCTGCTTCTCCCTCTGACCCTCCCCCCTCTCATGCTCTATCTCATTCTCTCTCTCAAATAAATAAATAAATAAAATCTTTTAAAAGAAGATTTTATTTATTTATTTGACAGAGAGAGCACAAGCAGGGAGAGTAGCAGGCAGAGGCAGAGGGAGAAGCAGGCTCCCCACAGAGCAGGAGGAGCCAATGCGGGACTCGATCCCAGGACCCCAGAATCATGACCTGAGCCGAAGGCAGTCGCTTAACCGACTGAGCCACTCAGGCGCCCCTTAAAGATTTTATTTTTAAGTGATCTCTACACCCATCGTGGGGCTCAAACTTACAACCCAGAGATCAAGAGTCACAGACGCTACGAACTGAGCCAGCCAGGTGGCCCTATTTCATTTGTTGCCTTCCAAATTCATTAAGATTTTTTTAAAAATAAACAAAACAAAAAAACAAACAAATAAATAAATAAATAAAAATAAATACTTTTTTAAAAAGGGGTGCTGGCTGACTCAGTCGGTAGAGCATGTGATTCTTTATCTTGGGATCGTGAGTTCAATCCCCACGTTAGGCATGTAGCTTACATTTAAAAAATAATAAATACATAAATAATAACAATAACAACAACAATAATATTAAAGATTAGTTTTTTAAAATAGCCAGTGTTATCAAAGTTGCAAAAAAACAGGCCCTCTCCAAGTGCTGGTGAGAGTAAAGTTCAGATAGTCTGTCTAAATTTGAAATTTTACATACCTTTCTAGGAATTTTTCTTTCTTTTTTTTTTTAAGATTTTATTTATTTGAGAGAGAGAGAGCACAAGCAGGGAGAGCGGCAGAGGGAGAAGTAGACTCCCCACTGAGCAAGCAGCCTAGTGTGGGGCTTGATCCCAGGACCCCAGGATCATGACCTGAGCTGAAGGCAAACAACCGACTGAGTCACCCAGGCGCCCCTCTAGGAATTTTTCTTAAGGAAATAATCATGGATAAGTGCAGAGATGTACCAGTGTGTGTATGGATCAAAACACTGTTGAA